TCCTTCTTCTCCTTCTTCTCCTTCTTCTCCTTCTTCTCCTTCTTCTCCTTCTTCTCCTTCTTCTCCTTCTTCTCCTTCTTCTCCTTCTTTTCTTCTTCTTCTTCTTTTCTTCTTCTTCTTCTTCTTCTTCTTCTTCTTCTTCTTCTTCTTCTTCTTCTTCTTCTTCTTCTTCTTCTTCTTCTTCTTCCTTTTCTTCTCTCTCCCACCCAGGGCTGCTGCTATCTTTTATATGGTACATTACGTGTTACATGTTCACAGTTTTTCCCAATGCCTATTACCTATATTAAATGGTGATTTTCTATCTTTTATATGGTACATTACGTGTTACATGTTTACAGTTTCCCCAGTGCCTATTACCTATATTAAATGGTGATTTTCTACTCTAAACCAATCTGTGAGTGCCAACATCACCAAGAACATGGAGGGAAGGAAGAAGAAAGAGGGAGAACAGGGCAGGCCCAAATCCCAAATCCATCTTAAACCCTCTGACCCCCATGTACAAAACCAAACCCCCCTGTACAGCACTCAGAAATTCTTCCCTCTACTTTGTGACTATTTCTACTCTAATATCTAAACTTTTGTGACTTCTTGTTCTTCCTGCAAGGCTGGTAAATCATTCCATGGCTCAAACCCAAAATCACAGCTGTTTGCAGCTGCCTGCCAGGGTCTCAAATGCTTCTGACCTGGCCCTGGAACCTTTAAAAATGTCTGAGGGACATTTTGAGTTCCAACACTACTGGCATGAATTACCTATACTACACATAACGTTCTTCACCATTATGGAATGTCGCTCCCTGGCAGGGGAAACCCTCCTGGAGCAGCTCTGTGTCAGGAAAAGCAGATGCACAGGACTTTTTCAGTCTTCAGGTTCTTGTTTTTTTGTTATTTTGTCATGACTTCAGCACGCTGTCTGCACCCAGACCTTGCATGCATGAAAACAGCACAAAAATGGCCAATGGCCTCTTGTTGCAAGGCCTTTTTAAGTCTAATCAGAAACTAAACTACCCAGTTAACAAGTGACACCTAGATTATTTCCCTTTCTACCCCAATAACTGACCCATAAATGCCCACAATGCAGATTTTTCTACCCAATTACAAGATACCACCCAAACTCAGGAAGAAGAAGGAAGAGGAAGGAAGAAAGGAAGTCAAGACAACAACCTATATCCTCCATCTTGAACCCATCTATTACATCCTAAAAATCCTAAAACCTAAATTTCTCACCCATGTGACATACTAAACTACTCTCTACAATTTCTACAGTCTATTTCACATTTTTGGGGTCTATGGTTTACCTTGGGGCTT